CCCTCTCCAGCCCCGCCCCCCCGCGCAGCCCATCGTGGGTTGGCCACGCCCCCGAGGCCCCGCCTCCTCCTCTCACTCTCCCGCCTTCCACCCCTCCTCCCCCCATTGCCTGAGTCAGGTTTGAGATCTGCTGGGCGGGGTGCGTATCCTTTGCCCTTAGCTTCCCACAGGTGGTGGGCTTGGGGCCTGGTGGGCTTCCGCAGCCGCTCGTGAGAGGGCAGGGGCTCTTGGAGCATGACTTAGCATAATTTATTCAATACTCACGGAATCCACCAGTTCATTCACTACTTAGTCATTGATTTCGCATATGCCAATTTGATTCCCAAATTGGAGTGACACCATCATGATTTTTGCCATATTCTATCTAGCCACTTACTTTAAAAATATTTTTCTCAAGTCAACTCACTTAAAATCTTTTAAATTCCTACGTTATCCTTGCTTATGACCTAAAATCATGCTTTTGAATAGTTGTATATTTTTCTAAAACATTAAATTCTAAGGAAAAAAAACGAACTACCGGTCTACCACCTAAAATCTCAGGTACCAACAGTGGCTGTCGCCCCACCATTTGGGTCTGGAAATGTGTTTACCATGCTCTGATACCTGAAAGGGCTCGATTCCAGACAGCAGAAGTCCCAAATCTGGGTGTAGGTCCACAGATGGAGCCACTATGCAGCAGCCCCTCCAAGAGCAGTGAGTGTCACACTGAATGGTGGAGCAGAAATTGAAGCTATGTGGTAACCTTTTAACAAGCACTTTCTGGATGCAGCGTGGCTAAAGATGCAGTAACAGGGAGATGCATCAGCGTTCCTTATTGTAACCTTCTACAGTGGACAGGGACTTAGGACAAGGGCTAGACCACAGTAGAGTCCAATGAGTATTAAATATGAACATAACACATGGTGGTACTTTTTTCTGAGTGAAAGGTACGCTTGTAAAGCTTATAACAACTTTGGAAATAGAGTATTATCCTCAATCCATAGATTAGAATCGATGGAACACAAGTAAGGGGCTATGGTAGGCAGAATTCTAAGATGGCTCTCAAGATTCCCACCCCTTTGGGTACATGCCTTGTATAATCCCTCCCCCTTGAGTGTGGCCAAGACTTGTAAATATGAAGGGCTGTCACTCTAGCAATTATTATGTTATATAGCAGAAGGGATTTTGCAGAGGTAATTAAGGCCCCTAATCAGTTGGCTTTGATTAAAAAGGGGATTATCCTGGATGGGTCTGACCTAATCAGGTGAGGTCTTAAAAGAAGTTAGAAGAGATTTCAAATGAGAGATTCTCTTTGTGGTCTTAAAGAATAAACAGTAACAACAATGAACTGTCTATGATGGGCCTTGTGGTGAGGACCTTAGGGTGGTCTCTACTTGCTAAGAGTGGTTCCCTGTTGTCAGTTGCCAAGAAGAGGACTTCAGTCATATGGCTGCAAAGAAATAAATTTTGTCAACACATTGAGGGAACTTGGAAGTGGGTCTTTCCCTAGTTTAACCTCCAGATGAGGATGCCGCTGGCTGGCATCTTGATTTCAGCCTGGGGGACCCTGAGCCAAGAATCCGGTTCAGTCCATTCCTGACCCATGGCACCTGAGATAAGAAATTGTGTTGCCTTAAGCTGCTAGGTTTGTGGCAATCTGTTATGCAGCTATATAAAACAAATACAGGAACGAATCCAAACTCAATAAGTCATGAAAAAAACCCTGCCTAGAAAAATCTGTTGAAAAATGTGTTTTTCTTTACTAGTGGGGTTTTCACAGCTTTTAAAACCTTTGCCAACAAAGTCCAATGAATGAAGATTCACCTCCAGAGAAAATGTATCACTTAATGGTTTCCACCTCCTACCTTGATACCAAGCAACACTGATAAGGACATTTCCAAATGTCTTGCAAGGTGGATGTCTTTAGGATTCTGATGATGGTTGATACAAAACAATGAAAAAAAAAATCAAATCAGTGGGAATGGTTTGGATTTATTTCTCCAGTGCGAATTCATTTCCACTGGACCCATATGTAATATAATATCTCATCTGTTTCTTTGGCTGGTTGGTTTGACATTTTATTAAAGGTGAACCAAATTCCCCAGGGCCATATGTGATACACTTTTTAATAACTGAAATAGTAAGAA